CCAGGATGGTCTCGATCTCCTGACCTCGTGATCCGCCCGTCTCGGCCTCCCAAAGTGCTGGGATTACAGGCTTGAGCCACCGCGCCCGGCCCCATGTTTCATTTGAAGGAACTGAGGCCCAGAGAGGGCAGGTTTTGTGGCCAAGATTGCACAGCAGGTTGTGGCAGAGCCCAAACCTGCTATATGACTTTCAGTGGCTGCCGCAAAAAAATTACCAACTAGGTGGCTTCAAACAAGGGAAATGTATTTATTAATTAATTTTGTTTTGTTTTGTTTTGTTTTGAGATGGAGTCTTGCTCTGTCACCCAGGCTGGTGTGCAGTGGCATGATCTTGGGATCACTGCAAGCTCCATCTCCCGGGTTCAAGCAATTCTTGTGCCTTACCCTCCCAAGTAGCTGGAATTATAGGTGGGTGCCACCATGCCTGGCTAATTTTCGTGTTATTTTAGTAGAGACGGGGTTTCACCATGACCAGGCTGGTCTGGAACTCCTGACCTCAAGTGATCCTCTCGCCTTGGCCTCCCAAAGTGTTGGGATTATGGGCGTGAGCCACTGTGCCCAGCCCGCTTCTCCCTTCTTGATGCAAACAAAAAAGTGGATGAAAGGAAAGAAAAGGAAAATATCCCAGCCTGGGTCAGAACAGCTTCCTTCCAAGGACCATGACCCGTTTTCTTAATCATTTTGCTTCTAAAAAATTATTTTCTCCAGAAGTTAAAATTTAGAAAAGAAAGAAAATTACTGCTCCCCTTTTGGAAAACCGAAACCCCTCCCAGCGGGTGCCGGCGGCATCCTGGGCCCAGCCCCCTCCCAGCCCTGGCTTCCCAGCTCCACAGGGCCTTTTGTGTGCAGCATCCCCGCCTCAGCAGCACGCTGTCTGCCACTATTGGACGCTGCTCTGGCCCTCGGCGGGGACGCCCTGGCACACAGCAGGGGCAAGCTGGGGCCTGTGAGGCCTCCCTGAGTGATGGGCCAGGTGGCGCCTCAAGCTGGAGAAAGGCCCAGCTGCAGTGAAAACGCCAAAAAAAAAAAGAAAAAGGACAAGGGGGGAGGAGGTGGGTGACATTCTGGCCGGTGGGTTGGGAAACTCAACCCTGAGAGTGGCCTGGGATCAGTTTGCAGAATGGGGAGGGGGTTCCCATCAGAACTGCATCAGCCCGACTTCACAGGTGAGGAATTGTGGCTCAGAGGGGCTGCAACCTCCCCCGTGGGTGCACAGCCAGGTGGGGCTCAGGTGACTTCAGCACATTTCCGAGGGGTTGGGTCCCAGCATCCCCAGGGACCAGCCCTCCTGTTTCCAGCTGAGGAAACTGAGGCCTCGAGGGGGCGGGTTCTGGCCGAGGTCACATAACCCTGGAAGATTCAGAGGGTGGGGCTGGGCAGCCGCCCCACGTGGGGCTGTGTATGGTGGCTGGACAGAAGCCAGGCAGAGGAGGGAGGTGGCTGTTACCAGGGGGGGAGGCAGATTCTGGCTGGGAGCCCGGACGGGGCCACCTCCTGCTCCTTCAGGCCGAGGCAGGACGCAGATCTGGACCCTACAGATACCAGATGCCGGAGGCCGGGGCCAGTGTCACACCACCTCGGCACCCCCTATTCCGCCCTGCGCTGAGGGACTCTGATTTGCCTTTGGGCAATGTCACCCTGGGACAAAGCAGGCCTGGCACCTCCCGGGGCTTTGGCCTCCCTGGGTGACCAACTGGTTCCAAGTGCAGCATTTGATGGCCGGCCTTGCGCTCAGGCCTCCCGGTCTGCACATAGGGCCTTTTGCTGGGCTGCTGGGAGGGTCGGAGCAGACCCTGCTGGGCATGCAGTACCCCTCGGCCTCCTTCTTGCAACCGAGCCTCAGTTTCCCCGGCCAGAGCCCACACTCCCTGCCCATCAAACAGCAATCACTGAGTGGGCTTGGTGCCCTCGATTCTCCACATCTGGCACATCCCTGGCAAGTGGCAATGGCCAAGGGTCTTTGGGGAGGGATGTGGGGTCCTCATACTCCACTGTGTTATGTGGCCTCAGCTGAACAGCCCACATCCCACTCTCCTTGTGGCTTCATTTTGGAAATCAGGGTCTCCAAAGGGGTTCTTCAAGGGACCCTGTCTGCAAAATGCAGGATGAAGCTAGGCTGAGCCTCTGAATCCTACTGAACACTCTCCATTGTCCTCAAAATCAATCCCACCAACTCCTTGAGGCCGGCGCACATTGCCCTCCCCTTCCTCCCTTCGGTCCTTCTGCTGGCCATTCCGGCCATTAGAGTTCTACTCTACAGGCTCTGCCCTCACTGCCCTCACTGCCTGGAGTCTCCACTCTCGCATCTTTCCATGCAAGCCCCCTTCCTCATGGTATGTGTCACCTCCTAACACACTCTCATCCCTTCTTGAACCAGAAGCTCATGAGGGCAGGACCAGGCCTTGTGTCCACCGCTGAGCCTAGCACTTGACAGTAATGACCAAATGTCCCTTTTCCTCCTTCCTTGGAGATCCCATTGCCTCACTGGACAGAAGAGGAGACCAAGGGTCCAAGGGGATCACCCCTCTTCTCCAGTGCCCCTGATTGCTGCTCACCTGGCTCAGGGGCCCCATCACGGGGCCTGGCGGGCAGTGGGCGGGGGCCCCGTGGGCGAGGGCCAGGCCGGGCCAGGGCCACGGGCCCCAGGAACTCGACGTAGGTGCCAGGGAAGTCACCTCGCTGCCGTGTGCGCTCGTTGAGGCCGGGCATCCAGCCCACGTTCTGTGGGCAGCGCTCGCCACCCTCGGCCACACCCAGTGCCTGCAAGGCCGCCCGGCTCACTACCAGCACATCGCCAGGCAGCAGCTCCAGGTCCTCTGGCCGCTCCCGGCGGAACGGGTACAGAGCGCGGTACTGGAAACCCTCAGGGCCCGCCATGGCCGCGTGGGTGGGGTGGGGTCTGGATGGTTAGGTGGCTGCTTGGAGTCTGTCTCTTATACACATCTAGATGTGTATAAGAGACAGGCACTTGACAGTAATGACCAAATGTCCCTTTTCCTCCTTCCTTGGAGATCCCATTGCCTCACTGGACAGAAGAGGAGACCAAGGTTCCAAGGGGATCACCCCTCTTCTCCAGTGCCCCTGATTGCTGCTCACCTGGCTCAGGGGCCCCATCACGGGGCCTGGCGGGCAGTGGGCGGGGGCCCCGTGGGCGAGGGCCAGGCCGGGCCAGGGCCACGGGCCCCAGGAACTCGACGTAGGTGCCAGGGAAGTCACCTCGCTGCCGTGTGCGCTCGTTGAGGCCGGGCATCCAGCCCACATTCTGTGGGCAGCGCTCGCCACCCTCGGCCACACCCAGTGCCTGCAAGGCCGCCCGGCTCACTACCAGCACATCGCCAGGCAGCAGCTCCAGGTCCTCTGGCCGCTCCCGGCGGAACGGGTACAGAGCGCGGTACTGGAAACCCTCAGGGCCCGCCATGGCTGCGTGGGTGGGGTGGGGTCTGGATAGTTAGGTGGCTGCTTGGAGTCCCACTGGCCCCATTGGCTGGAGCAGGGTTGGGAGGGTCCGCTGGGTTGGCTTGGGGTGCTGGGACCTCTATCTCCAGCAGTCACAGGCGACCACGGGGGCCGCTCATGCCTCGCTTCAAATTATTCCATGACCCTTACAAGGGCCACTCGTCGCTGGGTCCACCATTCGTCAACTGGTGGGAGGGGGTTGGTGGCGTGGTGTCAGGTCACTGGGCCACTGAGTCCTCCATCAGCAGGTGAGGCTGGGGCAGGCCGCTCACGCCCTCACATGGAGGGCCATGGGCGCCCAAGGGTGGCGGCTCTGCTGGCTGCACCAGACAAGGGAGCCAAGGGTGCAGGCTGCCACCATGCTCGGCCCGCCGAGGACGCCGACCTAGGGAGACAGGGATAGGGCAGCGTTAGCCAGGCCAACTCCTCTCACCCCCAACACGGAAATGGGCCCAAATCCTGATTTGGAATTCCCTGAATCACTGAGTGACCCTGAGGTCAGTCCCTCTCAGGGCCTCAGCTTCTCCATGTGTAAAATGGGTCTACTGACAGCCTTCCCTTGGAGCTGCTGGGAGTAGAGCTCCCAAGAAACTGCCCCAGGTATACTACATGCTCAGTAAATCAGTTTTTCTTTTTTTTTCTTTTTTGAGACAAAGTCTTGCCCTGTCGCCCAGGCTGGAGTGCAGTGGCGTGATCTCAGCTCACTGCAACGTGTCTCCCAGGTTCAAGTGATTCTCTTGCCTCAGCCTCCCAAGTAGCATGCCACCACGCCCAGCTAATTTTTGTATTTTTAGTAGAGATGAGGTTTCACCATGTTGGCCAGGCTGGTCTTGAACTCCTGACCTTAAGTGATCCGCTCGCCTTGGCCTTCCAAAGTGCTGGGATTACAGGCATGAGCCACCTTGCCCAGCCTGTTTTTTTTCAACAGAGGTGGGGTCTTGCTATGTTGCCCAGGTTGGTCCCAAACACCTGGGCTGAAGCAGTTCTCCCGCCTTTGCCTTCCAAAGTGTTGGGATTGCAGGCGTGAGCCACTGCACCCGGCCAGTAAACAAGCTTTTCATCGCCCCTGTTACAGAAGGGGAAACTGAGGCTCAGAGCAGGGAGGTGTCTAGGGCCGTGTGGTAGGCCAGGAGGAAGCCAGGACTTACACCTAGATCTGCCGACTTCAAGGCCCAGTTGGACATGAGGGGGCAGCAGCCAGGTGGCCAGATACCCAGGTGGCCAGATACCCAGGGTAGGGAGGACACAATGGGGGCCACTCCAGTTGCTTTGGGAGCTCCATGGAGGGGTCAGGCCAGCTGAACTAAGAGGTAGGGAAGGAAGTCCAGGAAGAGGCCCCTGCACAAGCAAAGGCCTACAGGTGAGTCCAAGCAAATGGACCTCCAGTCTCTGCAGAGGAGGAGTGAGTGGGCTGGCAGGTAGCTCCAGCCTGGGGCCCAGAGGAGGCGCAAAATGCAGATGGGGAGGTGCTTAGAGGGAACCTTAGCCCCAGGGAGGGACAGGGAGCCAGGAGAAGGTGGGGGTACTGCAGCTGAGGAGGAGGGGAGGCTGCCGGCCGCAGGGCATTGATCATTTCCCCAGGAGCTCCAGTCTGGGGAGGCAGAGATGGGCACAAATTCCCAGCCTAGCCCTGCAGGTTCAGACCTCCTGTGATGGACAGGGCTAGGGTGACGGATGGATGTGCTGTTCTGGAGAATGGATCATCACAGTGGATAGGAAGGTGCGCTAGGCATAGGGAACGGCACATGCAAAGGCTTGGCAGCGGGTAAGCTGCTTGTCAAGGATTCAGGGTGGCTATAAGGATAGGTGCTATCCACTAAGGGGCCCGAGTGTCAGGTGGAGGCTCTGAGCATCCTTCAGTCATGGGGAGCCCCAAGAGGTGTCCGAGCAGGGCGGAGGGGCGCCACATTCTCGGGTGCCCAACTTACCCACTCCCAGGTCTCTGTTACCCTTGTTCTACAGGTGGGGAAACTGAGGCCCCGAGAGGGGATGCCCAGGGAACCGCCTGGATCTGCCTGCCAGCCCGCCCCCACGCCCCGGTGTGCGCGCCCCGGGAGCAG